CTGTCGATAAGCAGATTTCTACTTTATCCTATGCAACGACTGGCGCCGCCATTCTCACTGCTCGTTCTTTGGCAAACTACTTGAGCGCTAGCACTCTATCATAGCTAACAGCGTTTCTATGGGAACGTTAAGGTTTCCGTAGTTACAAAGACTTTCTTCTTTCGTTGTTAGAAAATAAATTAGGGAGTCAAGAAGTTGCACTCACTCGCTACACAACGTATTAATCCTCAACGCATTTTTGTTATCCGTTTTTGTTCTTGTTTTCGTTTTGTTCTGTAATAGTTTATAAATAAATAAATGTTACATAAAAATAGTAGTGGTGATCAGAGTTCAAACCAATAGTATTCTAGTTCCTGATTCTTGCCGCTACAGTTAAGTACCTGCTGTCGCCCACTGGTAGTCCCGTTAAAAACTAAGATGAATCTGGTTAGATAAAAAAGTGGACTTGGGAGCCTCTATGCATTTCTTTATTCCTTGACGGAACGGTTAACTTGCACGCTATTGGCACGTTTAGTAGGAGGAATTGATCTGTCAGAGGGCAGTAAGATTGACGATATCAACGCACCTACGAGTCATTTCTATGTAATTGAAACTTCATATTCTTGCATGAGATTAGCCTCCCTAAGGTTTAAATTATATATTCTCTTATTCGATTATTTTATATACCAGTGTACAATTCCATACGAATATTTAAAAAATATTTTCTTGCAAGGATCAAGTTTTTTCGGAATATTTCGGTATTTCGCATTATTTATCGAAATAAAAGGAATCGTTTTTTCAAAATGTTTATACGATATGAATCCACATAGTGAAAAATTACCGCGTAAATTATGCGAATGATGTTTTTTAAATAACGAATCTCTTCAGTGACAATAATGGCACGAGATGAAGAAATTGATGTTATCGTTGCGTCGTGACAATATCTGGTATTTAAATTATTTTGTGCCATACATCATTGAAATCGTCAAGTTTTAGAGTTTTACGTTCATTAGGAGGTGGATTTTTCTTTTCACTATTCTCTGTGTCACGAGGTATTTGCGCAACATAATATTCAGAGAATTTATACTGGACGTTAAAATGGAGAGCAGGTAAATTACAAGTTTCTTTAAGTTTGAATTTAATTGTTTGAGAATTTTGTTTTGTGTTAGTTGCATGATTGGTTATATAAAAAAATAGATTTAGTATATAATGCATGGAAACAATGACGGAAATAAAGATTAATTGTATTATCGTAGAAAAAGTAAAAAACGTACAAATAAGAAGAATAATACGTCTGGTAACTGGGTGAACAACAGTCAATATGATCAAAGCAATAACGCTATGTCAAACATGGAATATCCTCAAGTTGTGTGGCAACCAGGAATTCAATCACATGTTCCAAATCACAACGGACAACGTCTTTTTGCAGCCATGTCAGATCCTAGCGTTTGCAGTTATTCACCAATGCCAATGACTTACACGATGGAACCTGTGTCGCTTCCAACTATGTATAGATTGTATCAACCAATGCCTTATGGCGTTCAAAATACACATGCTAGACTGAAGCAAAAATTTAATCCAAAACCTCCAGTTATTCCTAGCGGATACACCAGTCTGCAAGAGAATAAAAATAATTCAACAATCTTGTCGTCTTATCAGAATGGAGATTATGCTAGTTTACCGCCAGTTGCCAATAAAAGTAATGGAATTAACGAAGATGAAATAAGTTCAGAACATAGGAGATATTCGGATCCAGGTTTGGGACCTACAGAATCTTCCATTCACAATCAGGAAGAAGATTCAGATAGTGGTGACAGCAGTAGTTCAGTTACTACTATTGGTCGAAGTAACAAATTGGTTTTATCTCTTATCGAACAGGTTAGATTCATTTAATTAAATAATAATAATATATATATAT